GAGGGGATTTTTGGGGTCTCTGAGGGGATTTTTGGGGTCTCTGAGGGGATTTTTGGGGTCCCCCAGGCTGTCACATCTTCTCGGACGCGGGCAATCACGCCTCCATGGTTCAGGGCATCGTGCGCAGCGGGGCCCCCAAACAAATTTTCCGTCACAACGACCCCCAACACCTGGACGAACTCCTGGGCCGGAGCCCCCCCGGGATCCCCAAAATCGTGGCCTTCGAGTCCGTGCATTCCATGGATGGTCAGTGACGGGAAAAAAAACAAAAAATAACCCCGGGATTAGCCCTGGGGGATTGTGAAATATCCCCGGGAATCCCAAAATATTCCTGGGGATTCCAAAAATTATCCCTGGGAAACCCAAAATTATTCCTGGGAAACCCCAAAATTATCCCAAACATCCCAAAATCATCCTGGGAAACCCAAAATATTCCTGGGAGACCCCAGAATTATCCCTGGAGAATTCTGAAATATTCCTGGGGATTTCAAAATTATCCCAAACATCCCAAAATAATCCCTGGGAATCCCAAAATATTCCTGGGAAACCCCGGAATTATCCCTGGGAATTCCAAAATATTCCTGGGGATTTCGAAATTATCCCAAACATCCTAAAATCATCCTGGGAATTCCAAAATATTCCTGGGAAACCCCAAAATATTCCTGGGAAACCCAAAATCATCCCTGGGGATTCCAAAAATTATCCTGGGAATCCCAAAATTATCCCTGGGAATTCCAAAATCATCCTGGGAAATTCTAAAATCATCCTGGGGAATTCTGAAATATCCCCGGGAATCCAAAATATTCCAGGAAACCCAAAAATATTCCTGAGGAATCCAAAATTATTCCTGGGAAACCCAAAAATTATCCCTGGGAATTCCGAAATATTCCTGGGGAATTCCGAAATTATCCCAAACATCCCAAAATCATCCTGGGAAATTCTAAAATATTCCTGGGGAATTCTGAAATATCCCCGGGAATCCAAAAATATTCCTGGGAATCCAAAAATATTCCTGGGAAACCCAAAATCATCCCTGGGGATTCCAAAATATTCCTGGGGATTTCAAAATTTTTCCAAACATCCCAAAGTCATCCTGGGAAACCCAAAATTATCCCCGGGAATCCCAAAATCATCCTGGAAATTCCAAAATATTCCTGGGAAATTCCAAAATTATCCCAAAAAATCCAAAACCTCCCAGGGAACCCCAAATCCTCCCAAACATCCCAAAATAATCCCTGGGATCCCCAAAATCATCCCGGGAATTCCAAAATTATCCCCGGGAAGCCCCAAAAATCCCCCAAATCCTCCCAAAATCCCCCCAAAACCGCCCCAAATTCCCCCCAAA